CCCCCCCCCCCCCGTTTTGGTAATTCTACAAATGTCTGGTAATTCTATCCACCGAGGCTTGAACATATGGGAAAAAAATCATCTAGTATTTTTTGCCTCCGCTAAAATTTGATAACAAAAGGCTGTTAACCACTTATCTTACTAATGTAAAAGTGAATGTAATTTCCTTCCTTTATTCATGTTATTTATATGAGGAGAGGATAGATATGGAAGGAGTAATTTTCCTCTTGTTAGAGTAAAGTATAAACTTCAATAAATATACTGTGTATATTATTATCTAGTAGATCGTATATTTGCTCTAATTTTTTTCATATAATTTTATAGGTCGTTTGGTTTATGGTTTAGTTATGCAGGAATTATAGTGCTATTTGTACATCATGCCCTTTTACAATTTTGAATTTAAGAAAATGACCTTTCTAGATCTCTTATGTGTAAAAGACAGATCTCTCACGTGTAAAAGTAAACTCCCATGTGTAAAAAAAGAGGTAGGATTATAAAACTAAAAACAAGTTTGTAAAGAGCCAAAAACCTAATTGACCCCGTCTTGTTACTATACATAATACATGCTAATTTGTATAACATAAGTTGTACCCCTTGTTAGTAATACAGTCTTTGGATGGTGATAGAGATTATATTAGCTATACATAGTTTTATCTTGGAAACAAAATGTAGTATAAGTAAATTATAATTTTATGCAAAGATTAATTTCATTTATTCATCAAACCAAACAACCCCTTGTTATCTATATGTATATATAAGTTGAAGCATCAATAGGTTGAAAATCTCTTCTAAATATGCCTTAGCTTATTTTTGCATATAACATGTTAAGGACTAGTTGAATCATAACTCCAACCGTAAATTTCCCAAAAACAAAACAAAACCATTAAGTATCACTTGAGGAAAAAATGAAACAACAACAATCACGAATCCGGTATAATTCTACAACTGGGATATGTGGAGGATAGTATGTATACAGCCTGAAAGGTAGAGATGCTGTTTTTGATAGACTTTCGACTCAAGAAAAGATGAAAAAAACAGTAGCACAAACATTAACAACAATAAAATAACAAGAAAACGACGTGAAACCAGACTAACACTAATACTAATATACTTATATGTAAAAGAAACACTCTCTACTACCTACTAAAAGAGAAAAAGCTGCAGTCAGGGCATCTTTAAAGAACGAAAAATCTCTTGACATTTCTTATTTATTGTCTTGTATTTCTAATAAGTCGTTTAATAATTGGCATATTGAATCATATACATAATAAATAAAATGGGTTGGTTCCCACTTTCTTCTCATACCAAACAAAAGAGAGAAAGTAACTTTCATTCACTTTCTCCTTCATCTTTCCATTTTCTATTACGGAAATCAGTCTATTTTGAAGTAATAGAGAGAAAAAGAAAAAAGAGAAAAGAGGTGTTAAGCCATCAAACTTTCCATGTTTACTTTTTTGGACCCAAATGTTTTCATCAAAGAGCCAATAGTTGAATACTACATGTAGAAAGGTTAGGTACTTATAAGCTATCTCAAAAGCATTAAAGATAGAAAAAGAAAGAACAACCACTTGTTTAAACAAAGTAAAAAATTTGACACTTGTTAAAGTAAATAAAGTTATTTCAACAAATCTTTCTTTAATAATTACTTTTTTTATTTATATAACCTTCAAATTAGTTGTATAAAGTAAGACCACAAATTTAAACTTAATCGAGTTAGCAGATAAAATTAATTTTTGAAAAGAAAAAAAATTGGAGTTGTTATATCAACATTATTCTTAATTAAATTTTGCTATGCCACAATAGTCGAATATTTTCATTTTATAAATAAATTTACAATATTAATTAATTAAAATAAAAAATTATACTCCCTCCCTTTCAAAAAGATTGACTTGACACAAACTTTAAAAAACAAATGAAGACTTTTGGGATGTATGGTGATAAATAAGCCATAATATTTGTGTGATTGTAAAACTTTTAAAACTTGTGGTCTAAACATGTCATAATATTTATGTGGCTATAATGCTTCTTATAAAGGAAATATTAAAAGACGATAATCTTTTTGAAACATGCTAATAAGGAGATAGTGTCAATATTTTTGAAATAGATGAAGTAATTTTTTTGGTAATTAAGTATTTTATTTACCAAGGAAAAAGTATAATTGTTATTTCCTCCACTACGAATATTATAGCCCGTAGTAGCTTCTTCCCAAAAGCAGAAGCAGAAGCAGTTTTGACTTTTCTTCTTACTAAAAATACCCTTAATAAAATATGGTATATATCAAAATAACCATTAAACCTAATACTTAGGATATTAAAGTATAAATATTTCTTATTATTTTTAGGATAGCTTTCTAATGTATAGTGACTTTAGGGGTGAATGCTTTTATATTTGTTGAATGATTTTTAATATATTTAACTTATATTAAAAGAATTAAGTACTTTTAAATTTTATTTTCACATTTTACTTAAACAAAATAAAAAGATTTAATTATTGCATGTAATTTTTTTTTTGAGATTATTTATTTACTTATAATATTAACTATTAAGTAAATATATTCATGTCGTTATTCGTAATTTGATACTTAAAAATACTTTCTGAAAAGCTTGACCAAACACAAATTATTGCTCAAAAGTGTTTTTCAGAGTGATTAGCCAAACACAAACCGCTTCTCTCCAAAAGTATTTTTTTCAAAAGCACTTCTCAAAATAAACTGATTTTTCTGGCTTGGCCAAACAGGCTATTAGTCTTTTAGTTTTTCAAAATTGTTACTGTTTTTAAAAATTGTAGATGGAAAGTATTAATTATTTCTATATTTAATTGAACAATCTTTATTCAACACGACATTCAACTTTTAAGTACAAACTTTGGATCTATAGCAGCCTTTTTTAAGGGTCGGTGCAAGTCCCAATCAATCTCCATTGCTTAGGTCCACTTGTTTCCAAAAAAGTCCTCGATGTTTGTCCTATTTGCATATTAACCCCTTGGTATCACTATAGCTTGGTACACAAGGTATTCTGAGCTCATGTAAGATCCCCACACCAAAGGGTTGTAGTCTACTCTAATGCAAGTAGTAATTGATGTTTTAACGACTCGAATTCGTATTCAATAAATCACACGAAAACAACTTTAGCGTCGCGCCAAAGCTCCCTAATGGACTTTAATTTTTCGTTGTCATAGAACATGCAAAAATAATGTTACATACGAATATATGATTTGAAGTTTATGAGCTCTTATAACTGTATCGATTTAATTTATAATAATAATTAAATTTGTGTTTAAATATTTGATTTTTTTTAATAATATAAAATTTGAACAAAAACTATTGAATTTACGTAAAATCATAAATTATGGATTCGCCTGGGATTTGTGTTTGTTTTGGTAGAATCTTTCACCGAACATATATTCCTTTGGAGGCAACAAGTATATTCTCCTTAAAGTTTGCCGGAACTAGATTTAGAAGTTCCTTCTTTTTTCTTTTTTTCTTTTTTAATTTTTTTAGTTTGAAGCCTAAAATTTAGTTAGTTATTGAAATTAATTCACAAAATGAAAAATATAGCTCTAGAGTCTAGAATTTCCATTTTTTTTTTTTAAAGAAAACCCATTTAGTTCAATAAAAATTGTACATAATTAACCAGTTAACTCAAGTTATTAGTATTTCTTTTAGCAATTATTTTTTTAATTACATAGGGGAAAAGAAAAAGAGAGAGCATTAAAAATTGAGAATAAAAAACTCACCTATATGATAGAAACTCACAGTATCATTAGATTATAACTTTGATGATAAGTTATTTATTTTCGGAAAAAACGATTGGGAGTTTGTTTATCTTAACATTTTTAATTGAAAAAAGTTATAATCTACTTGTGAAAGAATTATATACAAATTAAATATTTTCGAATTATTTACAAATTTAATATTTTTGAATTATTTTCAAAAACTTTAACAAATTATATTTTGTTAAACTCTTAAACAAAATTATCAATTAGATATATAGTTCTTTGAAGATCACCAACAAGGTCTATTCGCTTGTCCAATTCCTTCTTTTCAAACACAAAAATTTAAAAAATTAAACCAAGCATTTTTTTTAAATTATAAAATAATAAATTACTTAAAACACATTATGCAAAATATCGGAAAATTTTAATTTTTAGAAATCAAAATTATCATTTCATTTAATTATCGCCTAATAAATGAAAAGTATAAAAGCAATACGCATTCGATGGTATTTAAATGAGGTCCTATCAGTTTTATGCATTTATAAAGCATCAGCTTTCGCAAAATAAAAGTAAAAATTAAGATAGAACAAAGAGTTGGAAATCATTGTCGAAAAGTTTTTTTTTTTTTTTTTTTTTTTTTTTTTTTTTTTTTTTAGAAAAAA